AGTTATAGTTTCCAAAGATTATAGCACATTAACTATAGCGAACTATTAATAGATACTCTCTTTGGCGCATCGCGTTAGTTTTATTTATAGGCGTGTGGAGGCCTTCTAGAAATTTCAGCTTTATGTAACAATACTGGCTATATTTAAGCATTTACGTACATACATATTGTTGATTCTTAATCTCGAGAATCTTCTACAACTTTAGAGAAGAGGCGGGAGTTTCGCAATACATATTTAACAGTATAAGCTAAGCTTGTTTCTAAATATAATTTAATCTATACAAACGTCGATATTAAAATAAACATATAATAATAATAATAATTTCGTCACAGGTATCATAAAGATATAGTTTATTTTCTTACACACTTCGCTTATGTTAAGATAAACAAACATATGCAACTGGCGAGATCAAACCCAGTACCTTTCACACGCCAAGTGAACTGAAGGTTTGTTGGTTTGTTTTGAATTCTGCGCAAAGCTACACGAGGGCTATCTGCGCTATTCTTCCCTAATTTAGCAGTGAAAGACTAGAGGGAAGGCAGCTAGTCATCACCACCCACCGCGAACTCTTGGGCTACTCTTTTACTAACGAATGGTGAGATTGACCATCACATTATAACGCCAACACGGCTGCAAGGGCGAACATGTTTGGTGGGACAAGGATTCGAACCCGCGACCAGCAGATTGCTAGTGTTCCCTAACCACCTGGCCATGTGTGAACTGAAGGACTAATCCATTAACTATTTCTATTAAAGTACCTTAAAAGAACCAAAACTACTACAAGCGTAGCTTTCTCGAAGACTTGTAAGATTAACGATGTTGGTTTTAAGAGGACATTATTCAGATGTTTTCTTCTTGTTGAAAAATGTGGTCTTCATTTATAAGAAAAACATAAAATGTTAGCTATACAACCGTCTACTGTTTTCAAAAGCAGACCAAAATCAAATAAGAACTACATCAAAAAGGAAATACTTTCTTGTTATTTCTTTACACCATGGTTTATTTTCTTAATTAAATATCCAAAATATACAAGGAAAATAACTTTTGGATATTTGTAAAAAAATATTGGTTGATACTTAATAAGTTTCAAACATAGAAATTTCATATTTATTGCAATTTTGCTATTTACCTAAAGTTCCCATGTAAAATTGGAACATTCTTGGCATTTAAACACAAAAATAAATGAAAGTCGTAATACTATATGCCTAAAATTATTGATAAAAACAATATAAACTGAATTTTTGTTTGTTTTTTCTTTCAGGATTCCTTTTAATTTGGCCATTTCGAATTCAAAATCAGAAGTGTGTAAAAATAGCATTTCAGATCTATCTTCTATTTCCCACAACTCACTGTCCAAGAGTTCTTTTACTCAGTACCAGATCTCCAGAACCCATCACTGGGCTGGACGATGAAAGAGAAAAGATTCTCTGAAACGCTCTTTATACATGCGGTATAACACTTTAAAAGTAAAGGTTCAAACGCCTAAAACTGACGAAACATTAGAAACCAATAGGCTTAAAATTTAAGACAAAAACACGTAAAATGCAGATGCTTTTTTTTCACATTCCCATTAGTTTGCTCATTTCTGATTCAAAATGAGAGGAAAGTCAAAATGCTATGATTTCTTTGCTCTTGGTTAAGCTATGAGTTTTCACTCTGTAATTTTCACCCTATGTATACAACTAGCAAATTTAACAGGCAATGTAAGGCTTAAAAAGTAATACTATAACTTTTGGCGTGGTCATCCTTCTCTACTACTTTGTGCCGTAACTTTCGAGCCATTTATTCGATGCAAAGATTCTCGTGTTTCGCACAGCACTTAACGTGACTTTCGTTTGGCTTCGGTTTCGAGTATTTCATTACCGACCTTCTCACTAAGTTTGGCTCTCATTTTCGGCATTTAGCGGGAAAATTGAAATGGCTCCCAATGCCGAACTTGCTCATTCATTTAAACTTAATTTTTAAGGGGGGTAAACCAAAGCTTATCTATCATACGTCATTGAAATTGATTCAGCCATTAGATCTCAACAACTTGTGATAACAGACAGCAAGTACAACAATCTCATGTAGTTACATAATATCCACGAGATATTATATGTTTACAATAATTTCTTAGGCAATAGCAAAAATTTGCAGGTAAATTATAGTGTTGAAACAGCAATACCTTAATAATGTGACGGTCAATACCACTATTCGTTGGTAAAAGAGCCATCCAAGTGTTAGCGGTGGGTGGTGATAGTCAGCTACCTTCCTTCTAGTCTATCACTGTTAAATTAGGGCCTTCTAGCGCAGATAGTCGTTGTAAATTTGAGCGAAATTCAAAGCAAACGAAACATTCCAATTAAATACTGTCTTTGATATAAGACTAATCAACCAATAGTTTATATTTTGTGCCTGTTGATTATGCTTTAACAATGTGGACATTTACCGAATTTTCTTTGGTGAACACTTTGTAAAGGTTGTAATCAGTGCTAATGTTATTTGTATGTACGAAAGAAGGGTTCTGGAGACATAAAAAGAAATCCTCATTCACTCACCAATAGTAGTTCCAGAAACGTACTAAAATAATGTTTACGGTCAGCTGTTGGCTTCTTTTGTATCATGTAAATTACCACGTTATAGCAATGTACAAACTCCTTCAAGTGTAGCGAAACGACAAGGCGACATCATACCTTGAGTAACTTGTGAAATATTGTGAAAAAAAGCGATCATTTTAGCGCCACCACTGTTAGTTTGGCCCATAGTGATCACAAGTCCCAATACAAGGTATGTAAATATATATAGATCAACAAAAATAGACTAAAAGATATTTACTCGCAGTTGGCAAAGATATGTTCGTTTTGAGTCTGTCGTATACACGAACTTTAGACAATCTTCACTGTTGAAAGAAAAACAGTTGAGTTTTTAGTTACAAATGAAGTCGAAATATCTAGAGATTACAACAATTAGAAGAAAAGCGATTTTAGGAGAATATATGAAAACACTGATACCGTAAACACTCGCGTATAGTGCGCACTTTTTTCCAAAACATTTAGTGTGCACTCTACGAGAGTTCAGTATTCTTTCAGTATTTTTCAGGTGAAATTTTCACTATACGCATGTGCCTATGCTAGATATTTTACTACTTTTTAAAGTCTGCAAACCAGACTGGAGGTTTAAAACAATATTTTGAAATTACGACTAATAGAACTTAAAAAATACATCTTATTAACACAACGATTAACACACAACTTTTCTTTTTAAGATTGAAATTAACACAGTTTATAGATGTATTGTCTGATGTTTATATGATACCAACTGAAAATAACACACTTCTGAACAATGTATCACTTTATCGTAAAAACTAAAAAACGAGCCATGGAGTCTAAATAATGAAAAAAACCAACAACAACAAAAAAAACAAACAATGTATACATGATGCGTTAAGTTTCAATTTATAATTTGCAAAATAAATCG